GGCGGCGTGGATGGCGGCCGTATTCTTCGTCAAGGCTTCGAGCTGCCCCTTGAGCGTATTGGCCGAATCGGTAGGTGAGTCGATCCCAGGTGTCGTTTCTGATTTGGCAAACGCCTCAATGCTTTTCTGCAGCGCTGGATCAGCGACCTTTTCCAAAGGTGTTTTGCCCTCCGTGTAGTTCTGGAGACTTGGATCAGCGCCCGATCGCAGGAGTAGCCACACAATGTCGCCTCGTTCTTCTTGCGAGGAAAGGCGTTCACACTAGCAGAGCATATCTGAGTTCCTCTGGCGTCGGAATCGCAGAAAGCCCTCTCAATTCCCGCGCGTAATACTCACCGCGTGATGGAGAGGAGAATTTCCCTTGAGGTTGACTACGTTGGGGTCAGCATTGCGTTGCAGTAACAACCGCTCGACAAGTTGAGGTGGTCCTCGAGAGCAAGCGATGTGTAGCATCGTCGGTTGTACATTCATTGGGAGTTTGGCGTTCACGTCGAGGTACCCGTCTTGTATCAATCGAACACCTCCTCCATCTATTAGCAGCTTTTTGATTTGCATAAGATTGGTTTGCAGATCCTGATCATCTCGAAAGAGCTCCTGTAATTCATCAAACAGCTTTGATGCGTTCTCTTGCCGCTGAGGATTCTTCGCGTTCTGTGATGGTACGCCACCTGTACGAAGCTTTTGAGTTGTAGCACTTGCGTTGTGGACGTCGTTGCCACGCCAAGTTGATGAAGTGCCTTGCGAGAACTTTTCAACGACTCCTTCGATAAAAGTTCGATGATTCAAGAGCGCTGCCTTGTCTAAAGGAGTAGATCGGTCAGTAGCGTTTGCAGCAGACGGGTTAGCGCCGTACTCAATCAAGAGCGATGCGATTTCCTTTCCGCCTTGTTGATCAATTCTCTCGCACTGTATGGATCATCCAGACAAGCGTTAGTCTTATACTCAAGGAATTCAGTTCCCAGCGTCCGAAGCGGCTTACTGCAAAATGGAGAGGCGTGTTGCCCTTTGCAGTGACTACGTTGACGTCAGCATGAGCGACCTGAACGAGCCATTCCACGCATTGCCTCTTGAGATTCCATACAGAAGCGTGGAGAATCGTGCTGTTTGTGCCACTGATCGATCTGTTGATGTCGAGAGCGCCTTCAAGAATTAGTGGGAGACTGCTCTGCAGTTCAGTAAGCAGCACTTCTTCTTTGACAGTGTTGATTGCACCCACAAACAGCCTCTTGAGTTTCTTGAAGGCCTTTTCTGCCTTCCGGTTCGACTGAGATGCCATATCGAAGACGGTGATCGAACGACAAAAGCAGTGCTGAAAATATCTGCCCTGCCCCAACCGGGCGGCGAGCTCTATTTTACACGGTGCTGCACAGACGCGCGGGGATGGTGTCGAATTTACGGGCAATGCCGCGACTAAGTTTCGCGGCAAATGGACGACGTCAGTGTCCGCCACGCGCATACAGCAATGCAAGCAGCGCACATCACCGTCATGATGATTCGTCGTAAGCAGACGAACGACCGGCGGCGGCCCCCACGGCTTTAGCGCACCGGCCAGCATTATCATTATTAACGACGACATGCATGGATGACGATTATAATAGCAGCAGCAAGCATCGTCATCACACGACGACATCGTCATCGCCGACAGTTTATGCTGACGACGACTGATGCAAGACGATGATTTCGTTCGTTTATTATTGCTTCTGCCGAGACGGCGACTGATGCCGCCGATCGACGCTGTTCGTAGATGCTGCCGATGTATTGCTGTTAAAAGGCGTCGAAATCATCTTGCCGGCCGCAGCCATTCGTCTGCGTTGGCGAGCTCCTTTGCCGGGCTGACGCACGCCGACGAAGTAGGCGAACGTTGGAGCATTATCTACGAACAAAGAGGAGCAGTCGAAGGCAGAGATCGCGAACCGACGGTACTCGTCGGGATCCAGAATCGTCCGCCTCGCCATAGCGAAGCAATGAGAGTTGTTTCCCTTGTTTCCACGCATAAGTCCCCAAAAAATAACGGGGTCGTGGTTCGCGCCTTGCTCTGCTATGTCCTGCAGCATGTCCTCCAGGCCTAGCCTGCCCTGATATCGTTTATAGCACGACTCGAGGCAGAAGCCAACCTTCTGTAGAGCACAGTTGAGCGTGTGTGTGCTCCATCCATCTGTGTTGGAGCCTGATTCCCATGGGAGTCTACACTGCTCCACAAGAGTAGAGCACAGAACGGTCTGCAGCGCGGGGATCTGCAGGGCGTTCCAGATAGAGTAAAGTCCACGAAACGCAGCTGAGTCAGGTAGACTTCCCTGTGTGTGGTGCACTGTGATAGTTGAGCTACGCTGCTTTCTTTTGCCCATGTTCGAAGCAAAACCAAAATGTCAACTCATTTTGAAAGGCATCTCACTTCCGGTAGCACATGACTCATGGCTACGTGACTCACGATCGAAAGTAAGCGTCCGGTCGAGCACGAGTCACGCTCTGCTCAAAAGGGTTCATTTGATTAATAACACTGCACTTCGTACATAGAATGCAATGTCTCTCAAGGACATACGGAGGCAAGGTGTTGTGGGGCTTCTCACATACTTTGATCAGAGCTACTTGACTGCTGATAAAGCAGTTTTGACCGCGAAAGCGGTAGTAGACCTCATCGCTGTATCATGGGAAGCCCCGGACACACTATTGTGAATCACGATCGTGCTAGGGCTTGTCATATACTTTGATCAGAGCTACTTGACTGCTGATAAAGCAGTTTCGACCGCGAAAGCGGTAGTAGACCTCATCGCTGTATCATGGCAAGGCCCAGACACACTATTGTGAATCACGATCGTGCTAGGGCTTGTCATATACTTTGATCAGAGCTACGTGACTGCTGATAAAGCAGTTTTGGCCGCGAAAGCGGTAGTAGACCTCCTCTAAGCATCATGGCAAGGCCCAGACACACTGTTGAGAATCACAAGCATCCTATGGTGTGCAATAGTCCCGCCAAATGCCGCCCAACGCCGCCAAATGTCGCGAATTGCCGCGAACATGTTCCATGGTGCCGCGAATGGCCGCGAACGTGTTCCACGGTGCCGCGAATTGCCGCGAACGTCTAACATGTGGCCGCGAATTACGGCGACGCCTTTTCTTGGAGTGCCCGCGTGCTCCATCAAACGTAAAACATCGGTTCATGCAGTCGTAATGCCAGACACAATGCTGGACAAGACTATCAAACACATGATTGCAGCAGCGTGTGCTGAGACGTTTATTTTGTGTGAACGTCGATGAGAAAGTGCAGAGATTGAACAAGTTCGGGATGAGCTTCGAGCTCACGAACAGACTGTTCGTGACAATATTGAAGGCATTCGCAGACGAACCCAACGGCTGGTGCAACACATTAGAGACTGTTCAACGATTGAAGACGCATACGGAGAGACACCATCAAAAGAGGATAGAACCAGGACCCCTTCACAGAGTAATACGACCGTCCCTGGCACGAAGAGTAACAGTAGTCAAGATGGAAGTGTAGCGGGGGCAAGGAAAGAGGGGAAACCGGATAGCATAGTAATCAACAGTACGAGTCGTGACACCTGTCCGCCACAACATGTTGACGAGCGATTACTCGAATACCCCAACGGTGATGTTGTAATCAGTGCTAAGAGAGACGAAGGTGACAAGCGAGTACCTATCATTGGATGGGCCATGAGGACCTATTCAACGTATCGAAACAAGACAAACGGTCGGAGGAAGATATACAAGCATTGTCTGGGTGTGTTTTCTTGTATTCAATCTGACTGTACATACGTAGCAAGACCGATGGCCGTGAAGAAAGCCAGTGATGCGCATAACGAGAATGTACTTCGACCAAAGGATGCATCGTGTCCTACACACCGCTGTTCTAAGATTGTTTGGAACCGCTGTTCGTGCCGAATTATTCTATCAGAAGGCGATGCTAGCTGGACTCTGCGCCATTTTGGAACACATGACCACGCTAAACCTTCGCCTGTTCGCGTAACGAGGCCAGCGTGGCGTGATCTGAATAGCATAGTCAACATTGCACCTGAGCTCGTTCCTTCTCAGCTGACAGTCGGATCAGCAACACGAAGTCCCGTTGGTCAAAGCGTACACAAGATGCTGAACAACACAGGAACAGTGCAGTATGTTCGCTCCAAGATACTTAGGGATCAAGGAATGCCTAGTACTATGACTGCGTTGCTACGGTTACAGAAGGATTCTACGGAACCTTTCATTCGATCCTCTTCAATGGACCTTTCGAACGCCTTCATTTCAATGCAAACGAATAGCATGATAGACCTCATATCTGCAGCAGAAACGCCAATGGAGACAGACTCGGTGCATGATTTCATCGTTGACAAGGAGTTTGTAGACGAGATCAACGTGACAATCACATCCACATACGATGTTGCCCTTCAGCGAACGGTGCCTGTGTGTGTATCTATAATGTTTGGGAAGTCAGCAAAGCATTACAAAGCTCACTTCAGGCAAGTTCTAATGATGATTCAAGCCGAGAATGCTTCAGAGTATCTGGCAAAGTTTCCAGGCATGACTTGTGATATGTCTGACGCCGAACGAGTTGGATTCAAGGAGGCCATACAGGACGTCGTGGGTAAAAGGTATGGCCAAAAGGTTTCCAATGAACAGATCGCAAAAGTAAGGGGGTATGCTTGGGCGTTCGTTTGGACGGCGAAGGCTTAAACGCGTGTTAGGTTTACCGGTTCTGCGAAGTCCATTTCAAACGATCCTTTACAAGGGTTGGAAAAAGTCTTGGTGTCGCAGGCGTCGAAGATTCAGCAGCCTTCAAAAGTGATGTAGAAAGCCTGCTCGATATAGATACGATGGATGAGTTTTCCAAGGCATGTCTGGAATTCTTTGAAAAGTATCCGATGGCGAAGAACTGGCTTAAGTGGTACTTGGTACCAGACCGCGCGTCAATTCTCTTCAAAAGCTGCCGGGGACTATCCAGCAAAGATGAACGTTCTCGATGCCAGCTACGAAAGGATACAAATGCACTCCTGTCTCCATACGGCCCCCCAGGCACCAGCCCCAAGCGGGCGATCTCATTGAGGTTGGAGGCCCTGGTGACGTGATATCCACCTCCAAGCGTGTTTGCGTGGTGTACGAGGATTTTGTGCCCCAAGAAGTCCGGAAGGACTTGCGCGCTGTGCGTTAGCTCCTTGCTGGTGTGTCCGCACGTGGCCCTCATGGCCCAGGGCATGAGCCATCCAGAAGATTGGCGTAGCACGTTTCCAACATTCGGGGGCTGTCTTATGCGTTCTTGCTCAACCCAATCAGCGATCTCACGGTCAGTGGTGCCGTCATCGATCGCAAGGCCAAGGAAGCGGAAGCGAACGCGACCATTGACAGTCCTTGAATAATGGGCCATCGCAAAGAGCAAGCTGAGTTTGATCTGGGGAGTGACATCGAAGCTCTGCGGTACAGCGATGTGTCTGCCCTGGTGACGGCGGACTGCGTCGTATGCATGTTCCCAAAGAGTGTTGTTCCAGAGGATTTCGTTGATGTCTACCCATCCTCCCTGATCACAGCTAAGCCGGAACTCTGGGGCAGCATGCCTGCGGTCGGAGTAATTTGTTCTCCCAACGTAGTGCCGCAAAGCCTTGTTGAAGAACCTGCGCAAATCATTCCAAAATCCACTCAATTGCTGGTCCATCACGTTGCCCAAGAACTGTGTGGCCGAGTAGAGCGGATGATAGAACACCGGGGTGTCATCAATTGGGATGATTTGCAGTTCGCCAGGGTATTCGCGGCCACCGACGTAAGACATGGACTTGTAGTCTTCGATGCTGTTGTGCTGCCTGAGGTCGGTCGGGTTTTGGAGCTTCGGGAGGCTCACAAACAGCAGTTCCGACAACATCCTCCTGGCGTCAGGCATCGAAGGCATACCCACTTCTCCGACATGCTGGCCTGTGGCGGTGTGCACGAACGTGCTGGTGTAGCGGCGAATCCTATCTAGGAAGGTCATGTGCTCACCGGTCTGGTCGTCGAATGGAGGGAGTGCTCTAAGCCACGTGAGTCGTGTCATGCCTTCCCAAGCCACTCGCTCCGGCGCGCCGCCAGGTGCACGATCAGCATTTTCCCGCCTCTCGGTCGGTTCCTCCACTGATCCTGCTCTGGAAGGTGGCTGCGGGCCAACGTCAACGTCAATGACTTCGACCTCAGGAGCAGGCACATCTTCTCGGGCAGGAGGAGGAACGTCGCTGGGAAGGGAACCCCCTTCGGCAGCTTGAGCAGGCACTTCATCCTCAAACATTGGCTGACCACGCTCAATCCTCTCCTGCAACGAACATCTGGTACCACCGCTGGAGGGATTCGGCATTTCGACAACTGTCGAGGTTGTGGTCGACCGCACCACACACGACGCAGAAGTCGGAACCAGAGGCCATTTCCAAAAATCGGCCCAGGGATTCAGCGACCCTAAGGCGTTTGGCGCGCCTCCCCTCTTCGGCGGTTTGCCCAGTTGTCTCCTCTTCGACACCCATTGTAGCATCACCATCTCGTTCAGGTTCAGGCTGAGGAGGTGTTGCTGCAGCAGCTGGCTCGTCAACAGGAGCTTCGGGTTGGGCGACGTCGTCCACTGGACGAGAGTCACCCTCCCCCTCAGGAACAGAGACTCCGGGTCCGGCGGAGTCCTCCACAGGAGGAGAACCACCTTCCCCTTCGTCAACTTCCATGCCCCCAGAGCTAGCCGTGGGTGAACGAGGACGTTCTCGTTGACGAGGTAGAGGTTGTTGATTGCTTCGGTCAATGATCGGGTCGGTGTTAATGGGAATCATGAAGCGAAGAGTGCGGGCATTGTGTATCCACTGACGATGAAGTCTGTCCCCAATCTCAGTGGAATGCCATTCTCGACTGATGGCGCCACGCTTGCGATGGTTGGCAAACACCCCATTCGCAGCATTCTTGGCGGCCCATCGCTGAATGGCGTTCTCCAAGCCCTGCAAGATGGAGTTCGCGTCGGTGTGGCTCCCAAAAATCCGACTGATCCGCGTCTGGGTGTTGAGGGGCGTTGTCGAGGCCACGAATAGGATCCCCAAAGCCAGTTCAATGCAATCGGCCAGTAGTTCGTCGGCAGATCCACGTTCCATACCAAGGCGTTCAAGGCCATCTCTCCCCAAAAGCCACCTGCAGAAAGCAGAATAGACCTTGTTTCCTGGGTCGTAACCGGCCGTATACGCGATAGTGTGGATGGGAGCGCCACCGGCGCTGACCGATGTCTTCTGGACGATCGTCCTGAAGACGTACATGTGTGATCCACGATTGTTTTCCAAATTCGCGATCACCTGTTGGATCGGGAACCGAATCATTCCAAGTCGGGACAAGCGCTTCCCCAACCTTGTGCGGACCAGTGCGTGGGAGTTCACAATGATGAATTCCCGAATGTCACCGAAGACATTGACGTGCAGATACGGGCAATCCTCAAGAACCTTTTCGTAGGCCTGTCTGAGGATCAGAACCTCGTATCGCACTTCAGCAAAGTTCGCGTAATGATCCGAGTTGGCCGCTGCCTTGGCGCAGCATTCCAGGCAGGTGCCAGGCTGTCGGATGTTTGCACTGGTAATCGAATCGTTCTCGGAGGTAAGGGGTTGCTGAAGATTGAGGATGTCAGAGATATCCTCTCGGCAATCCGTACAGAAAGGATTCATTGCACCAGAATTCCTCGCTTCCTGTTTGGCCTGACCATCAGTAAACCAATACCTCCTTTCGACCATGTCAAGCTCGTAATAGCCCATGGGGTCATCCTCCACAAGAGACCACGTTTCAGCGCCCCTGACTCGATCGGCTGGAGAGAAGGAAACGGACATGTTTGTTGCTGTGCCACGCCCCAAAAACATCTCCGGTGAAAGTTCCGACGGAACCAGCACGGCCGCGTAGTGCTCCGCCGGAATGTTCACATAATCGACGAAGGGCTCTATTGCATCCCAGTGCGGTGCGGCGGAAACGGCGACAGCTTTCTCGGACATGAGGTGCTTGTCAAGCAGCGCCCAAAGTTGCTGGCCGTGGTTGTATTCCGGGTTCACCGAGAATGGGGATTTGGTGAATTGGCGGTACTTAGCCCAAAGCATGCCCGATGTGTTCACCACACAACCGATGGCACGCAACATCGACGCCAGAGTGCCTGCCCACGCAGAAAGGTTCCCCGTGCAATTGCTGGGGTTCGCAAATAGCTCCAGGTCGCCGTTGACGTCCACCAAGATAGGTCGCGCCATGAGCAAGGCGATGTTCTTGATGGGGTCAACGTACGTTTCCTTCAGTAGTGCGCTGATTTCGGGGATTGCCAAAGTCTCCACCGAAACCCTCTGGCGATTGTGCTCGTACTTCACCACTTCGGACATGGAAATGTGCATATGCACTGTACCAGCTGTCCTCATGGCACCACTCACCTCAGCAACCTCGTCTGGCGCCGGGAACCCACCGGTTCCGGGGCGCAGACGGGAAGCCAGTTCGTCGAGAGCCTGGGCAAACGTTTTGCGCGGTCTTCGAGGGTCATTTATGGACTCGACGTGGAAAGGCTCACACTTGTACAACTGCATCAGATGCGACCGCCCAAACTGACACAGTCCCTGGCTGACGTCTGTGTAGATGCCCTTGTTGGACTTGTACGTGGGGACGTAGTCGGTGACCAACATGGTAATAGCATCTCGAACACTGGGGACGTCATCACCATCGATGTTGTTGTTGGAGATCGCATCGGTTGCTTTGGCCATGAGGGTCTCAAGCAATAGCCCCAAACTCGTCTCCAACCCTGTCTCGGCCTGCTCGGTCATATTCACAAGCTCGGGATCGACGGCGATCGTCATCATCTTTGGGCTTGGAAATGTACCGGCGGCTTCCAGGTGGATCATTTGGTAGAGCAAAGCGTAGACCCTCAGCCACTCTGCATCCGGGAGAGATACGAATCGGGAGACCGTGAAGACGTTGGACGAGACTCCAAGGATATGCGCCAGGTGAGATGTAATACGGCGAAGGAAGATACACCACCTTGTCCTCCGGAACTCCATGTCGTCGAGATTCCGGAAGTGGGGTCTATCCAGTACCGGTGCAAGTTCCAAGCACGGCTGGAAAGTCGGTTCGGAAGTGTTCATTCCTTCCTCCGTTTTGGTGACGTTCACGGGGATCGCCACTTTCTTATCATCTCTGGTCGCAATGATGATGCGGAGTCTTCCCACAAGCGTCTCGTCGGGCTTTTGCAACCTCCAAGTGTAGAACCCATAGCCGGGTCGGTCTATGGGCCGGACACTCGGTTCCGGCTGGGATTCCTCCTCTCCTCCATGTGCGCTGGACACACGTCCAGGGGCACTGGAGGAGGAGGCTGCCGTCGAACGGCCCGCGGCCGGTCCTTGGCTGTCTGGCGCCGGGTAGTCGACCTCGTAGGAAGCATTAATCGGATCCGCGTTGGTCTCCCCCTGATCCCAGACCGTCTCAGCCGTTGGCCTGTCCACATAGTGAACTTGCGGTACCTCACGGTCGCGAAACACGTCATGGTGTTGTACCGGGAGCATCCAGCCGAAGCGTACGTTGGGGCCATCATCCTCATCGTACTTGCGGTTGTCCCCAAAACGAGGGAATATCTCCGGGGTGCCCAAGAGCGTCATGCGGGATCTAGCATCCTCCAATGCGTCGGTCCAGGTCCGGTGAATGGACGCTCTGGATCGAACTGCGGTTGTGTCACCCAGCTCGGCAGCGCACATGTCGTACCATTGAGCGAAGAAGTCCTCACGAAGCCCGATTCCGCTGTTCTCGAACGGTGCCTGGATTTCTCCCAAAACATCCCTGAGAAAGTCCAGTGGCCTGACTCCGTCTGGCAGGGGGTTCCACCGGAACCAACCTGTCGCATCGTCATGGTCGAACGGGCAATCGACGTACTCCTTAAAGGTGGCCGCCAAGGAGATCAGGAGCATCAATCTGTTTTGCAGCTGGGCCTGCAAGGGATTGTTGTGGTCCGTGTCGTCCTTCAAGAGCCGCTCCACCGCAAAGTCCATGTTCCACTCTGCCACGCCACCATCGCACTCAGCGTTGTAGTTCAGGCGCCTCAAGCAGTAGTAGATGGATCGGGCATACCTGGGGACTCGATGTGCAAGTTCCGCAAGTTCAGATGCTGGTAGATCTTCAGCTCTCGCATCACCACGGGGGCGAAGGCGTAGCCTGCGTTCCATGGTGTCGTAGAACAGCGTTGACCGCAATTTTCCCATGGCAGAATCAGGATGCACCGGTCTGACACCGGCGAATTGACTGTTCCCGATGTCCTCGTTGAGCAAGTAGGCGGCGGAAGAGAAGAAGTCGACCGCCGATCTGTCTGCCCTGACCAAGCTGTTGTTTATATCATGGAGCAGCGCGCGGAAAGGGTCATCAATGTTGGGCACCACGTGTGCACTCACCCAGAACTCCAGGATACTGCGATACTCGTGGCTTTTCTGCAATAACAACGTTTTGACCGTGTGCAGCAAAGAACAAATCTTTGTCACGAAAATCCGCAGGTTCATCTGCGCTTCCCGCGCTTGTTGAACCATGCCCATAATATATCTGCGATTGTCCTCCTCCGACTGTTGGCCATTGACAGCGGCAAGGTGGAAGGCGACCGCAAGCAGATTACTAAGTTGGTTCTCGTGCGCGCGGATCCAGGCTTGGATCTGATCCAGACCGTTTCTGGACATTGGGGACGAGAAAGGTGCAATTGCATCTTCTCGAAGGTATGCAGAATCCGCGGCACGGCCCTCCAAGATGATCTGCTGTTCGTTCAACCACGCTGCCCTTGACCCCAGGACGATTAAATCCTGGTCGGGGTAGGTCTGTCGAACCCAGTCTGGAATGCGAACAGGTTCGGGCGACGCAGCCATGGCAAAGAGAGAGACCAACAGGCAAGCTAAGGTAACTAGAAGCTTCCAAGTCCAGCAGCCGGTTCGGGGGTGTTCCACTGGAACAGGCCCCTCACCGCGCTTCCCCCGAACAGTGTACCCGGGCTGGGCAGAACTGACGGGTTCAGCAACTAGACAAGGACAGCCTACCAAAACACTCCCTCGATGCTTCGACCTACGCTTCAAAATGCTTCGCGCAGTGTCCTCCTTCTTGGCTACTCCACAAACATGGGGTTGCAACATGACGTGTCTTTGAGCCGCTTGAGCAAATGCGCGATGTATGCAGTCAGTCAACATGAACGTGTAGCCCTCTGCGTCCTTCAAAGCCTGTCCACGGGATGCACCATGACTACTGCACTCACACTGAAACTTGTCAAGACAGCAAAGTTCAGACATGTCTGTAGCAATGCACCACCGCTTACGTAAGGACTGTCCATGTTTGTTGACTACTCCTACAGCGCAGCCATCGAACTCATGCATTTTCAGTTCAAAGTAGGCACAAAAGTCTTGCGCAACAGGCCACTTCCAGTATGCACAATTGGACGGCAGTTCGACAGACAGATACACAATCCCTTTGTGTGCAGAACGCAGCATGTTCATGAACTTCCGAAGTGAACGCGACAGCTGTGTGAACAGTTTACGTTGTTCATTGCTTTTCTCGACCCCAAACAGTTTCCGATTCACGTGTTGCCAAGGTGAACCGCCAGTGCAGGGGAGAGACGCATGCACTAAACATGTGGTGTGTTCATCACAACTTTCTAAGACCTTCTCCAACAGTTCACAAACATTCTTGCGTTTGCGTGGATCGTTGGCTTCGGTTACCCGAATCCTGGTGCAACCTTTTGTGACTTTTCTCGATTGACTGAGCTTGCTGTTCTCACCGCAACAATACTCAATCAACACCCTCTTCGGGTTCTTTGGCGCACGAGAGTTACTTTTCTGATCCTTGTGCCCAATGCTAGGCGACGGATACGCAGGCACCCTCTCGGCGTGATGTCGTGCCCCTGACACCTGCTCCAAAATGACGGCGGCAGGTTCGCTGGAACGGGCGATGTCACCATGCGTCGGGTCCAAGCCATCATCGAATGGCTCTGGCAACGGATGACGACAATCCCTCGATTCCAACTCCGACACATCAACATCAACCGACGTGTAGAAACTCGTCTGCGTGCAAAGGTATTTCACCGGATGCGTGCCCGCTTCACGGGACCCAAACTTGCAATCCAACATGCTGACATGAAAGTACAATCGCGGCAACACTTCTCGCGCGCGTTGCTTTGTCCAACTGTCACCATTTTGTTGCATTTCAACCGCAAGCATGCATTGTGCCTTCCTGGCAGCATTGATCACAGATCGCGCAAGCTCAAACGCTTGTCGAGCGTTTCTGTGTTGGACATTCACATTGTCCCGAAAGCTCATCAACGATTGTGTCCCGAACCAACCGCTGCCAAGCACAACCATGTCACGCTTGCCACGCATAAGTTTCTGAATCACGCGTTCACACATGTTGTCATCATCAACAGCAACGCCTTTTCGGTGGATCTCGCAACCTTGGTCATACGATCCTTGCCATCTGTGTTCAGTACCGACTCCAAAGGTCACAACACGCGGCGCGCCACCGTTAGACTGAAACACTTTCACTTTCATCCCTTTCAACACATCTTGCGAATCGGCACTGGGACGAAAGCTTTCCGAAGCAGACACGGCGACAATCATAGAGAACAACTCAACCGCGTCAACCCCGACGAACGCAAAGTGCACGCCACTTTCGGACGACGATTCCACCTGATACGATGCTGGAATGAACCGTTCAGCAACTTTGCCGGCGTTCGTACGATCTCCATCGACCCAGCCGGTCTCTACGGAATGCTCCGTTTTGGCTTCTTTACGGTTCTTACAAAACTGTGACGTTGTCGATGCCCACACAGAACTTTTCGCAGCCAGGTGGGAGGACCCCCCATGAACGACGCGCAACATGTAGTCGATCACATCACCAATTCTTGGCGACGCCGAGATGCGAAAACAGCCCTTCTGAAACGCAGGCAACAAATCAACGAACAACGATTCGCCCGCACCAAGCACCGGCGCACGCGGTCCCAGGGCTGCGGGAGACGCGGCAGCGGCGGCGACGGGGTGAAATTGATGGACGGCACGCTCAACCCATGCATCAAAACGCTGACGTTCGTCAGGAATTTCAGCATGATCTTCAATCCGATGCCACCCCCCATCTCTCAAGATCCAAGTGCTACGCAAGTACCGGCCTCCCGGGAGCCCCACTGGGGCTGGCCGGAGAACGCGCGGCGTCTTCATCATGAAAACAGGGTCGGCACCTTCAACCGTTTGCAAGCCATCGCGCCCGGACAAGCCAGGCACATACAGCTCGGGCGGCAACACAGGCGTGTTGGTGTAAGGGAAGCAAGGCACACCATCACGCTCCTGATACCAAGACTGCCCCAGATCAGAAGACCCGTCGTGAGTAGGCTTCATCAATTCCAGGATCCACGGTTGACTGATATCAGTCGAATCGAACACGTTAATCAGGCTGCACGCATGTTTCCACGCTTCAGCTGACTTAAACGGTTTGGTGTGGATATCTGCAGCCATCTTAGCAGTAATTTCGTACACCAATAGGATAGTGTCAGGCATGAACACTTCATGCATCCACGCAATACATAACCCATGGGTACGTTCCAAATGACGCATCGTGGGATTCTTGCCAGACCTAATCACACTGATCATAGCCTGACTGTCATCATAGAAAATGATGCGCGGCTGTGTGGGTGACAGGCAAGTCCACAGCGTGATCGCAGGAATGCCGACCTTGGACATAGCATAGTCAGCAGCAACAATTTCGGCTTCAGGCGTGGAATGGCTGATGCTTCCCTGCCTTTTACTTTGTCCCGCGACTGGAAACCTGGTATTCGGACCCTGAATCTGCATATGGACCCCTGACGTCGACTTCAAGGATTCACCGCAACCAGCATAATCCGCGTCAGCAAACAAACCAACAACCAGATCTTCAAGCTTGTCTCCAACCCAACCAACCATGACATTGGTCTTCGTGGAATTGACATAACACATTAAGTGACGCAAACGTTTATCGTCTGCCTTCGACCATTTAGTTACATTCCTGGCCAAGGAATTGATGGCACGGAGCAGATCGAAACGAGCAATTCGGGCAGCATACAACAATTTCATGAGTACGCTTGCTGCGTGAGGCGCTAACACCCCACGAGATTTTGTCTCTTCATTCTCCGGTGCACTGGGTGTCCCTGCCGTTGAGCTCGAACGACAGGTCGAGGTAACATTCAGCAGTTTACCGTCGGACCCAACCGGCAAATCGGTCGCGCGCCACGTACACTTGGCAACGGATGCCCCAGGAACGACGGGGCGTCGAGCAGGATGATTTTTGGTGTCTTCCGCAGTGCTGAGAGTGTCGACCTGATTCAGCGACTCCATTTTCAGCCCTGTGATGTCACAATACTTACGGACAGACATATCCAACAAATCATACATGCTATACGATATCGCATTCACATCCGCTCCGTTGTGCAGTTTAGTGCAGAATTTCTCGACCTTACAACCAAGATACAAGCCAAGAGGTTGTTCTTCCTCCAGGTCAAGCACCTTACGAATCTCAGCCCAGCCCTTTGCCAAGTTCTCCTTGGGACCGGACATCTTCAAATCGTCAACGTACACAGCCAACAATAGCTTGTACTGATCATGGAAGTATAGGGACGGCCATTCGCCCCCAACGGGGCGCCAACCAATCGCAACCAACTTCTCATGACAATGTTGTTCCCACATCGTTCCAGCGTCAGGATGACCATACAGTTCTTTCACAAGTCGCACCATAGGTCTCCTAAACTTACTGATGTCAATGTGTGGCGGCCACGCATCCAGCGGCAATTCCACCCAGCAAGGCGTCCCCGTTAGGATGGCTTGGATATATGCTTGGATAGCGTCGGCCATTTGGCATTCATGACCAGGTAGGCATCCATACATGTCAACCCAACGCGCCGTGTCAAACGACGCCGGTGAACTGCCAAGATCCTGAAACAATGCTGCTTCAAAATTCTGATCTTTAACCTGATCGCCTAGCAAGACTCCTCTACCTTTGTACTTACGTTGTGGATGTCCCTCAGGGAGCTGATAATTCTTCTCATAAATTAAGCCATGCACGCGTGCCAGGTGGATAGTTTCTCCTGTCCTTTTGGCTTCAGCACGCAAATCATCATACTCACGCACCACACTGAAGTCATAGACGTCACGCTTCCAATGCCCTTCGAACTCCTTCTTCAAGGCGTCTCGCGCCTTGGTGTTTTCAGCGAGTTCTTTCCTGGACACCGGCCTGGTGACCATGGCTGGCCATGGGAACAATCCCGGTGGCACGTTCTTCTGTCTATGACCCTGTTGTGGCAACGACGACGAACAAGGCATGGCTATACCGCGAATCCCTGTCTTGGACCCTTTCTTCACTTCATCGGGAAAATATTCAGCAGGGACGGCGTCAACAATTCTTCGCCACATTTCGTTCCAATTTTCGAAATCAGCATCAGTCACCGAATCATGGAACTCACCAACAGTGGCAATTCCAGGAAGCGCTCCATCTTGGGACTCAGCTGAAGTGGCAACGGCAATCGACGCGTCACGCTCTCTTGCGAGCTGCCTTCTCCTTCTTCTCTTTCTTCTTTTCTTCCTTGGCTACCTTCCTTCTCTCATCGTGGCTAAGTTTCTGCCACTCTTCAGTCGTAAAGCGATCCCTAGGCCTGGACGACGAAGCAAAATACCTACGACCGTCGGGACCGACGCGATACGCCTTACCATCTTTACCTAGCTTGCACCATTCACCATCATCATTGATGTACATCTTACCGTCACCGGGTTCACCCTCACTGCAATGCGGATACCCTCCTACAGTGTCGGGCTTGCTACTGGACGGTGCCGGGCCTCCAGCGGATTCAGCGTCACTGTCAGGATCAGAGGCGCCAGAGGCACCGCACCGTGGTTGGCCCTGGCCCTCGTCACCGTCATTTTCCTCTCCAGGCGGACTAGGAGGTTCATAGTCACTAACATCGCCATCTTGATCTGACTTTTCGGAAAACACACCTCCGCCATCAGGAAGTCCACTCGACGGATCCGCCAGGAAGCCATCCAACTCTGGTTCTTCACCAGCGTCGCCCTTCTCCTTCGCGTCCCGGTCTTCTGGCACGCTTGCTTCGAGATACTTTTCGACGTACTTAAGCAAGTCAAGATTTTGCGCGGACGACTTACCACGATCTGGGTCATCACCAGGTGCGTCATCGTCATCATCACCGCCACCATCACCACCCTGGTTGTGCAACTCGCGCTGCGCATCACGCCTTCCCTCAATCGTGCTGTTGGCCCTTTCATATACGTCCTTCAACGGAAACACAAAAGGCAACTGAGGTTTCACAACTTGCGTGATGTACGGTTTCTGCAACTTTCTAGGAATGGATGGTGTGTCGAATGACAGGCTGACAGACGTAAACTCAACAAGGTCCCATACTTTATACTTCTTCGACCACTTCGTGCCGTGACCAAGCTCATACCCAGCAAAAATGCCAGGAGTAGCATTGGGGTCGAATTTGTCTGAGTATGAGGGATCCTTCCGGGTGTCAGACGCTTTGAAGAAAACAAGAGCACCAAACGGAATCTCCTGGTCCTTCCAATGTTCATCCATCATCCGGAACCACGCACTCTCACCGTTGACCACTTCAATGTTCAACAAATGTGACACGCAACTGATAGCAAAAGGCCAGTACACGGCAGGCAACCCAGCATTCAACAAGCATGTGCTAACGACACCAATCACAAATTGATTCGTCCTTTCTGCAAGTGAATTGTTCTGCGGTCGCCCCGGTACGGACTTGTCTAAGGGAATCTCCATTGCTTTCATCGCGCTGATGAATTCAGATGCTCTGTCAGAGTATGCCATCTTCACTTTGTAGTCTCCTACAAACTTAGTCATGGCATCAATGACCGACTCCTGTGATCGATCAGTCGTGACATATGCACCGATGACTGCTGTGGCCACGTCCTTCACAATCAGGATTTCTCTGTCACTGGAAAACCCATGCGACCTCATGGGTCCGGTATCAATGAAATCGAACGTCACCAAGTCCCCCCATTTGCTAACGTCCCGCTTGAATGCGCCCCTGTGAATGTACAGGTGCTTCATTTTGGCTCTCACACAGGACTGACAATACGGGTTACGGTAGCGATGGGTAAGCAAGTGGGCCTTGGTCTTCGCTTCATGCTTCAACGTACCGACTTTGGCTGACCTGGGTGGTGCAATGGCATCTCCATCATCATCAAACAACAACACGTCGTCATTGTTGTCATCGTCATGCGCGGCGTCAGGTGCCGCATCGGCTTCATCGTCACCTTCGCGGTCACGTTCTTCGGGTTCATCCTCACCAGCGACTGCAAAGAAACTCTTCGGAAGCCGCTTGTTGTTGACAACCTCTCGCAAGTCACGGCACCTTCGCTGTGCCGGGGGTCTACTCCTACGCTTAGGTTTGGGATTGTAGTAAGGAATGTTGCCTTTGACGGAGAATTCAATCATGTTGTCATCACGATCGTACATGAACGGCTTCTCCCCTGCAGGCCAAACAAACGTGTATCCCAATTCCATGCAACGCTTTCCAACCGAAAGCACGGAAGGAGTAGACTCCAACACGAATGCGTCGGCGCCTTCAGGAAAACCCTCCAACGGCAACTTTGTTTTGGCCATCGCATTCGCGATTCCGTTGGCCGTCAAAAACTTGACTTCGTCACCGCCGGGCAACATGGGAAGCTCATGATCAATCACATGTTGGTGGGCTAACAAATCATGTCCACAACCCGTATCCATCAGGAGCTTCAAGCTGCGGCTCTTAGGCTCTTTTCTTCCGCTGGCGGCGACAAACGTGTCGCCTTCCAACTGAGAATCGGAACCAACGACGTTCTCATGCCACACCTGGGTTCCATTCTTTTCCGAATCCAACTCAATCTGCGCGTCCAAACCTTCTGCGATATGAACCCTGCACTTAGCGACGGGATCTTCGACAACATGGCGATGCGTAATGTCCGCAAGTCCTCTCGCGTGCAGCTTGTCATATTCGCGTTTGCGCACTTCATGGTCGGACCCATAAGCTTCCTCATCAAGCTTAGCTCCCTTTTCTTTAGCTTTACGTTTTGTCACCCTCGGTTCAACCACATCCACAGAAAACGACACATTCTTCACGACAGCGTCGCTCTCGGGAGCAGTGGAGCATTCGGAGCAACAATCAGAATCATCCGACTCCAGGCAACCAATAACTGTGGCAGGCGCGGCGGCCGCTTTGGGTTTCCCTTTGGGAGCGGCGGCGGCTTTGGCCTTGGCTTTCGCTTCGGCAGCGGCAGCCCTTTCAACAGCGGCCTTAGCTTTTGCCACAGCGCTGGGGGTAACATTCGGATCATGTGAGAAGGTACACTTGTTTCCCTGTGGGCATTTGCCATTCACCAACCAGTAGTAGCAAGCTTTGTCTGCTTTCTTAGCAGGGGACGGCGAACGGGATTTACTCTTGCCCTTGCCTTTCCCTTTGCCTTTGCTATTCCGCGTGTCAACATGCCTTGCGGGGCAACTGTCCCCTTTGTTGCATTTTCCGTTGACAGCGAAATAGTAGCAGACACCTTGCTTACCTTTGTCCTTGTTGGAATCAGCACTTTGTGAACGGTCGTTTGATTTTCCTTTCTTGCCTTTCTTCCCTTTCCCTTTGCCTTTTGGGACAACTGGCGCGGCGTCCCCATCTTCATTCTTCTTGGCCGGCGCTGCTTTCGCCGGGGCAGCGTCGCTGTCACCACTTTTGGAATTCAGGAGATTCTTTAAACCCTGTTGTTGATCGACCCTGTTCTTCTCCTCCCGAGCCTTCCTGATGTGTTTATCCATAATCCCCAAAAGCCAATCGTAGGTATAATTAGGATCATCAAGAAGAAGATTCTCGAAATGGCTGATGTCAAGCGCCATCCGCTTAGACTTCTTAATCTGCATGAACAACATGTCCCGCAGCGATTCCTTGGATGGCCGGTCCTCAGGCCTGATGCTCTCCAACACCTGGAACCATTGGGTCTTAAACAGGCTTAAATGATTGTCATCCTGAAAACGCAAATTAGCCAATTCTGAAATTGTATACAGGATATCCGTGCGGTTGCGTGTCCTAAAAGACTCGCGCAACATGGCTACGATTTCTCTGCCTTTGATTAGTTTGACAGGATCACTAGAAGCATGTTTATACTCACGGGCATCAATCTCTAATCGGAGATCCATAGCCTTGTCTCTTGCCTTCTTAATCATGGCCTTCGCAGCGTTGCCTAACTTGATGTCTATGCTAGCGTAACGATCTCCTTCGGAGTCGTTAAGAGCATCTAAGTCAGGACGCAATGCGAATGCCTTCGACAACCATGTTATCCATGCTTGCACTTCAGAATCGCCTGATGCAGCCACTACAGAAGATAGAAGTTCAGAACGCCACTTTTGCATGTTCATAATGTTCGGGAAGTTAGGCACTGACACTTTCTCTTGCTCTTTCCTAGTAATCTTGATGGTTTTGGTTTCAGCTGGTGCATCAGAGCTGGCGGCCGGCACCGGCCCGTCGGACGACGCAGCTGCGGCGCCATTCCTGGCTTCTTCAAGCTCTGACCTTAGGTTTTCAGCATCCCTAGCTAGTTGTTCCACCCAATCCATCATGTCCTCGGTGGAATGACCTGCATCGGGAGGCAATGCTTCATCATACTGTTCATCGGGAATGACCTCGGTTTTGTCATGCTGTCCTACATCCCTGGGCCAACAATCAGAAAACATCTTCCGCAGGCCCGGGGGAGGGGAAACATCCGTACTGCCACGGGCGGCTTGGCTGCCTTCCTGTGCATCGAATTGTGCAGCCGATTCACAGGATGCCAGCTCAGCACGTAGCATCTCAATACTGTCTTCCCATCGCAGCTTTCATCCGTGCGTCATTCCTTTCAGAATGCAGAATCTTCGCGAACTTCTTGGCAGCCTCTTGTCTGTTGTTATCGCTTTGTTGAACCTCCGCGACAACTCTCCATACATCATCGTTTTGTGCTCGGAGTTTAGCGACTTCATTCGCCAACGACATCCGAGCTTCTTCCAATGATGAAGTTGTATGTTGTGCACGATGTTCAACATCATGAAGCTTGCGTTGAGAAACTATCACTCTGTCTTCCAAGAAACGTTCTCGCTCCTGCATGGCAGAAGACATAGCTTGCCCGTGATCTTCCAGCTGTCGAATACGATGTTCGGAAGCTTCATGCCTTCTCGCTGCATCCGCGAGTTCTGAACTGGCTTGCTGAGACGCCTG